AATTGTTACATCATTTAAAAAATATTGGGAAGTTTATTGTTTCCCATCGAAAAGTAGAAAATGCCAATGCAGATGAACGTATTGTAATTGTGATAGAAGTAATTCTAAGGGTGAAGTTTATTATAATTAGTGGAAGTAATACCAAGGGTGAAGTTTATTATAATTAGTGACCTCTGCTTCTTTTTATATGTAGAAGTTTCTGGTTTTGAGAATAAATCGGTTGAACGACACCCAAAATTTAAAGGAAGTATTTGCATACCCAGAATATGCCCATCAAGGATTATATAGCTCAAATTTCCTTTAATGGTAGGCAATTATTCAATGCAAATTAACTTTTTAAGTGACTAAAATATTAAATAGTTTACAATATGGTATATCACTAAAAATATATTACTTTTAGGTACAATTAGGGCCCGATACATTTCAAAAAGTAGAATATTATTTTATATTAAATGAGGTATTGTACTAACAATCAATTTATATTAATAACGGAGATTAAAAAATAACAGAATAAATAGTTCTTTTTTTTTCATACTACAAAATAAACTATAGAATACAACAGTATTTAAAAAATAAATAAAGTGATGATGTTCCGGCCGAGATTCGAACTCCGGTCTCTCGCTTCCTAGCCCGACTCATATGCACTGCTCCACAGTAACTTGCTTAGCGATAATTCAATGACGGTATATAAACAAAAAAAAACAGGTTTATAACAATATCTTGACGATTTGAACTGGCGCGCGGAGCGTGCTGACCAATAGCGCCTGTTATCACCTGTGACGTAGCGACCAACCTGCGCAATATCATACCTTGTATTCTTTGTGCCATGTCTAAAGCGCGATATTACTCTAGCGCTATTCAGGGAACGCTGGCCGCCTCATCCATTTAAGTATAGATAAATCATATAATATACGATTATATTATAAATATATTTTTTTTATTGTTTCAATAACGGTTTTTTTGACTGCCCTTTTGCATACGGCTTTTTAAATTAATTAACAATATTCCACCAACCGACATGCATGTATGCGATGATTTTCTTTTGTCAAAATTCTATGCCTCTTTCGCGTTGTCTGCCGGCATTTCAGCCACGAGAAAAATGTCCGTCAACAATTTTACACGTTTCCTAATAATAAATAAAAGCTATTTGGCAATTATAACTCGTGTACCTTATAATATTTTTAGTGTCAAAATTTCACCCTTTCGATTGGCCGCTCCCGCTTTAAGCCCCGGGATCGCGCTGGCAGAGATGACTATTTCACAATGGCTAAACAAAAGCATACTTCACACAAAAAAATTAGCCATGTAACGATGATAAGGTTTTTTATGTAGCCAGCTCTCGGTCTCTAATGAAATATAAATATATAAGGTACTTTACCCAATTAAGGCCAGTGCTCCTATAAGGCCATACGCCCCCTAGCGACACAAAACAAACTTGACGTAAAAACTGTGACTAACAATAATGTATACCCATGCGCTCTATGACTTTAGTCTATGGATGGTTTCAAAAAATCGCCAACAGATGGAGTTACAGTACATCGTGGTTTGTAGCCGTTTTCGTTAACGGGTTTCTTGTATATGTTGTTTCCGATTTTTTATTGAAATTGTTTTTTTATAAATTTTCTTTTTACATAAGGAGTTACCAAGGTAAGTTAGCTTAATGGTACTAATTTCGGTTTTTTGTTGTTTTCAACTTTAAAGAAGTTATGAGGGTTTGTTGTTTTAAGGTTATGTGTTCCTAATAAAGCCATCTTAGTGGCCTTGTTAGAAACTATGTGGCCTTATTAGGTTCTTACCTATTTTATTCTTTATTCTCAGAACATGCCACCCACACAAAGAGCAAAATGGTCCGAGCAGCAGTTGAGGAGAGCTCTTGAGAGTATAAATCAGGGAATGCCTGTCCTGACAGCTGCTAAGCGCTATGATATTTCGAGACGAACCCTTCGACATGGTTCACAACTGGAAGTTTGGTTACGAAATTGGGAAGATCCTCAATACTAACCGCAGAACAAGAAAATGAGTTATGTCAACGTATTATAAGGTTAGGTAATATCGGAGTACCTTTGACAAACAAAATCATTCGAAAGTCGGTGTATACATTTGCAAACACTAGAAATATTAGACGCTGTTTTAATCGAGAAAAGGAAATGGCTGGCAGAAAATGGATAAAATTATTTTTTGCCAGGACCCAGAAATCACCGAGCGTTCTACGAGTAGCAGAGAAAATTTAACTCCTTCAACTTCCAAAGTTAAGCATAAAAATAAAGCTTCAAAAAGTAAAAAGCCATCAACGGAGAGTTGGTACTACTTTATTTGTAAGGAAGATAGGGTGTTATACATGAGACTTTGTGTGTTGTGTTGCCGATAGGTCCATGAGGAATGTGTCGGGTCATGCAGGGATAATAAAACCAAGTTTGTTTGTGAAACGATTGCGAAATTTAGTAAGTTTCTTGGTTAAATAAAAATGTTATTAAGAAAAAATTGTTTTTTTTATTGTAATAGCTCCTATTTACCAATTTCTGCACGTGGCCTTTAAAGGTGCCTGCGTTACCCAATAAGGCCAATTGCAGTGTTTTTTAAAAAACAAAAAAAATCCACAAAACAAACAAAAAATATATTTTTTTGATGTAGGATCAACATATATGAAGCGCTAATTATTCCCCAATAGTTTCTACAAGGGTAGGATTAATATTTTTCTTGCAATGCCCCTTTAAACCTTAATATGGCCTTAATTGGTTCAGGTACCTTACTGACAGTTTATGACATAAAAAATTCTGTTCTGGGTTCAGACCCAGCAGACAAAAAAAAACAGTGACAGAAACATTCATGTTTTACGACAAAGTTGTGACAAATCCAATACATTTGTGATGCGACATTCTTATCTCATTTTTGTTTTGTCTCAAAATTCGGAGACTTTTCAACGTCCCGTCTCGAGTCGGTAAAGATCAAAGTGTCCATGTTTTGTTCGTATATTTTGCGATAAGTTGTCGGCGCAGTGTGAATGGCGTGTGCTGCCAACAGTAGTAGACCAGCCCAAGTAGCATTTTCACGACTTGCGACCACATGTTTACTAAACACAACGTTGGATTAGTTACAAAAAGTAGTTAGCTCCCTACCTTGGGTATTAAAATAAATTTAAACGTTTTTATAACGTTGTGCCGACGTTGGACTAGTACTACAGCAAAGTAGAAGCTTCTGCGACGTCGAATAAACGTTGTCTTGTAACCTTTTTTGCTTAAGTGATCTTTAGGTGATTTGGACAACGTAGTTACAACGTTGGATAATATAGAGTTTTCCGACGTCAGTTTCAGGACCTATTCCAACGTTATGCAAACGTCGTCTGTTTTACTAATTCCAACGTTGTTTAGATTTCCTTATTCTTACGTTGGTAGGACGTAGAGTCACTACCTTTTTGCAACTGTATTGAACCATAACCTTAAATCTTAAATTTTCAATTCATTGTTCTGTTCAGTCAGACAGTTCAGTGCTGTTTTTGTTTTTATAAAAAAAAAACTTAATTAAAATGGGACATAAGAAAGGTACATATAAAACTAAATTTAAATATACATCGACATATATTACCGACACTTCCTCGTTTATTTAGATTATAGAGGGCGGCACAAGCTAGACTCTAGAATGACTAAATTAGGCAATCTTGCGACTAGTATACTACCTGTTAAGGCCGAACTGCGACTTTATTAGTCCAGTATGCGACTACTCGAACTACTCCATCTTAATCTCCAAAACAACAAAGTTAAAGCCGCCATGTTGTTAAATAAGAAAATGTTTCGTTCTTAAAATAGCAATTCCTGCTTTTTGAATACATTAACTTGAAATATTTGACCCTAAAAAATACGCGGAAACAATTTTTTCGAATGCGAATAAATTATTCTCATTTTACTAAAAAAAAAATTCAAGAAAATTTTTAAAACTTCTTTAATTTCAAGGCCCATTAGTATTTTTTAAAGTAGAAACAATACATTTATCAATAAAGTTGTTTGCGTTTAACTTTTTACCTTGGGTAACGAGTTACAGAGTCGGTTAAAGTGTTTCAATAATTATGATCTTCAAACATCCTCCACACTTAAATACTTTTGTTTTGTTTTCCTTCACTGCCATCTGACATATGTCTCTAACTAAATTATAAATATAATATTTTTACTATAATTATCCCAATTTAGGATAAAACGCGACTTAGACGCCATATTAGTTTTGTATTTCTGTGAATTAGAATTTTAAACAACGTTGCAGTTTGTACTAAATTAGGCTTCTAGCCAACGTCGGTATCCAACGTCGTTTCGACCCAAAAATTATTCTCCAAACTAGAGTTGGCACGGGTTGCAGACTAGGGTTGGCACGAGGTTGTGCCGACGTTGCGCCCCGACGTTTGGTCGCGTGACACAACGTTGTCCCGACGTCCAAATGCTGCTTGGGAATGCCCCTTTAAACCTTAATATGGCCTTAATTGGTTCAGGTACCTTACTGAAAGTTTATGACATAAAACATTCTGTTCTGGGTTCAGACCCAGCAGACAAAAAAAAAACAGTGACAGAAACATTCATGTTTTACGACAAAGTTGTGACAAATCCAATACATTTGTGATGCGACATTTTTATCTCATTTTTGTTTTGTCTCAAAATTCCGGAAGGAGACTTTTCAACGTCCGTCTCGAGAATTGGTAAAGATCAAAGTGTCTATGTTCTGTTCGTATATTTTGAACAAGTTGTCGGCGCAGTGTGGATGGCGTGTGCTGCCAACAGTAGGAGACCAGTGAAATCACACATGGTTAATAAAACTCATTTGCACAACTAAAAATTTGACTTTGTTGTACTTTTGTCATTGCGGTGTGGACAATTTGTCTCAAGTTTGTCTTGTCAGAAGTCTCCATATTTTGTGACAAGTTTGTCTTGTTTTTGTCACAAAATCGTGTCTACTTTTGGTCGCCTTGGTCTGGACCCGGCATTAGACTCAAAAATCTGGTATTTTTGGAGAACTCTTACCTCTAAATCCGTAGATGTCTAGGAGCAATCTGACAGCTTGTGGCATCAGCATCATCCCGAATGCTGTCCCGGCCAAGGAGAACCCTATGGCCTGGCCTCGTCTCTTCACGAAGTAGTTGTTAAGGGCCACGAATGTTGCTGAAGCTGTCAAACCAACCCCCAAACCTAAAAAGGGTCGAAGAATTATTTCTTTAAAGTTCATTTGCATTAAAATACTTAAAATACTATTTAATTAAAGGTTTTCTATGTAGAAGGTGCCTCTAGTCAAAAAATCTAGACTTGCAGGAGTCTTTTAGTCATCAGGACCAAGATTGAACCTGCAGATCATAATGGCCAAGACTATTCGAACGACTTCAGAGAGCAAAACCAAAAGAGTATTGGTCTTGATCTTGCATTTGTTCGTCACTGTCAAACCAACCCCCAAACCTAAAAAGGGTCGAAAAATTATTTCTTTAAAGTTCATTTGCATTAAAATACTTAAAATACTATTTAATTAAAGGTTTTCTATGTAGAAGGTGCCTCTAGTCAAAAAATCTAGACTTGCAGGAGTCTTGCAGTCATCGGGACCAAGATTGAACCTGCAAGATCATGGCCAAGACTACTCATTAGACTTCAAGAGCAAAACCAAAAGAGTATTGGTCTTGATCTTGCATTTGTTCGTCACTGTCAAACCAACCCCCAAACCTAAAAAGGGTCGAAGAATTATTTCTTTAAAGTTCATTTGCATTAAAATACTTAAAATACTATTTAATTAAAGGTTTTCTATGTAGAAGGTGCCTCTAGTCAAAAAATCTAGACTTGCAGAAGTCGTGCAGCAAAATTGGGACCAAGACTGAACCTGCAAGATCATTGCCAAGACTACTCATCAGGCTGCAAGAGCAAAACCAAAAGAGGATTGGTCTTGACCTTGCATTTGTTCGTCACTATATTGAAGGTTCAATTTCTAAGCTATATTTACTAATGACATCGAAATTAATTTATTTAGAGGTCATTGATATTTTGCTATAAACTGGCTAAATATTTTTGAATATTATTTTAATTTTTTTTGTTCTTTGACATTGTAAACATTTATATATGTTGATTTTAACAATAAGACTGACAATATTATTTGTATAATGTTTTGTATTATCTTTTGTTTGTTTGTTTGTGTACCTTGTTTTTTTTACTTTGTTTGTTAGTTTACCTTTGTCCACAAATTGAAAAATTTTTTGACAATAAAGGCATTTATTTATTTATTTATTTATTTATTTAAGTTATACTCCTTTGTAAAAATAACAAGACTTGAAAATGTAATCTGGACATAAAAAGTTATTTTTCCAAATTTCGGAAATCGATAAGGACTAGAAAAAAAAGTTTTGGAGCATCAAATCTTAGATTATATTTTTTTCGATACTTTTTTTCTTCAAATCAAAATTAGCCGAGATAGGGTGGCTAGAGCCAGCGAATGATATTTAAAAGAACCATAAGTTGCTGCAAAACTGAAAATCTAATGCCTTACCGTTAATAATACTGTAAGTTGCCAGGATGTGAGGCATGCTGTTGGCCCAGCTGGTGAGTATGAGTCCCGAGGCCACCAAGATGGAGCCGGCGAGCGACACTTTCCTGTAGGAGAAGGCCCTGATGAGGGGGCCTACAAATAAGCCCGAAAAGTTGATGAGGGCGTCCAGCGTGCTCATGATGACGGCCGCTCCTGTCGTTTCGACCTGAAGGTCTTTGAGTAGATCGCCGAAAAGAAGGCCAAACGACTGCTCTATTGATCTTGTACAGAGCTAAGCAAATAAGAAATATGCAAAATATGAGTTTAATACTAAATGAGCCTTGAACTTCTATCTCTTTGATCTATACAACGTTTCAGTGTATACAGGGTGGTCCAAACTGTATTCCGGAAACTTTGGCCAGCATATTCTTCATATAAAAATTAATAAAATAAATCGTATAAAAATGTATGTCCTAAAATGCTTAGTTTCGGAGATACAGGGTGTAGACATTTAATTTTTATTTCGATTTTTTCCTAATAATTTCTGAAGTAACGTCAATATTTAAATGAAAATTGGTGTCTGGGAGTTTTTTGACATGAGAAATTTGATTTCGATGTCAACTAAGCATTTTGGGACATATATTTATAGGAACTTTTTTACTTATTTTTATCTGCAGAATATACAGGGTTGTTCACCACATACGACACGGAGTATTGTAGCTAAACGATGAGATTTTTACAAATTGTAAGTTTTGGGTTCGATGAAGGACTATTAGAGGTACAATTTAAAAATAATTTGACAAGATACAGAGTGTCCCAAATAAGTAAAAAATATCAAAGTTGTATTTTTTTAAATGGAACACCCTGTATATTATTACATTTTTAGTTTCTACGATTAAAATAAAGGTAAATTTGATTAAGGTTTATTATACTTAAACCTTACCGTTTTTCAAATATTTTTCAATTTTGGAAATTGCAGTAAAAAGGAATTTTAAGGCTTCATTTCTCCAAAATTATCAAAGTTTATAATACTAAATATTTACTGAAGTTTAAGTGATCAGTTATTGTGTTGCAATAATAAAAATAATACTACCACATACAGAGTGTCTAAAAATTTATTTTAAATAATTTCTAGCTTTAAACGCCAATAACTTCTTCAATTTAAATGGGTCGCCCTGTATATTTTAGGAGAATCAGATGCGCAATTTAATTGTCAAATCAAATTGTATTATACCATTTTTTACCTATCCCTTCAAGTTTTCGTAGAAAATGCATTTTCTTATAATTTAGACCCTATTTATCAATATACCCATGGAATATTGACATTTTAGATTGTTTTTGAAGCAACAAATGTACGCAATGTACAGGCTAGTAATATTATCGTTTTTTAGCAAAACGATAATATTACTAACGACTAATGTCTAAAAAGAAAACTATTTAAATCTATAAAGTATACCGTTAATTAAATATAACACACTATTATTTCCCGCCATATACTAATTAATTACATACTTAATTGTGTTCGTTAATAAATTATTCTAAATAAATGTATGGATTTAGGTCAGAAATCAATATAATAATAAGTTATCAAAATTAAAGTCTCTGTTGTTATAAATAAGTATTTGGTTTGGTTTGGTTTGGAATGAAAATAAAATATCATTACAAATGAATACAAAATTCAGTTTTTTAGTATCTGGAGCAATTATTATTAATCAACGCAAACAGTCAGTTAATGTAGTTTGAATACTGGAATCATATTAATTGGTCCCCTTTAACAAATATTTAAACAGTAAATAACAGATAAATTATATCGACAATATTAGTATCTGTACTCTTTAAAAATTTGGTACATCTTTAAAAATAATCTAAAATGTCAATATTCCATAGGTATATTGATAAATAAGTTCTAAATTATAAGAAAATGCATTTTCTACGGAAACTTAAAGAGATAGGTAAAAAATGGTATAATATAATTTGATAGACAATTAAATTGTGCATCTGATTCTCGTAAAATATACAAGGTGTTCCGTTTAAATTAAACAAGTTATTGCCGTTTTGAAGCTAATAATTATTTAAAATAGAATTTTAGGCACTCTGTATAAGGTAGTATTATTTTATTATTGCAACAAAACGAACTGATAAATTAAACAAACTTCAGTAAATGTTTAGTATTAAAAGAAATTTTGATACCCTTGGAGGAAATGGAAGCCTTAAAATTTTTACTGCAATTTCCACAAAATTAAGAAAGAATATTTCAAAAACAGTAAAGGTTCAAGTATAATAAACCAACAATTAAATTTACCTTTATTTTAATCGTAGAAACTTCAAAATGAAATAATATACAAGGTGTTCCGTTTAAAAAATACAACTTTGATATTTTTACTTATTTGGGACACTCTGTATCTTGTAAAATTATTTTTAAATTGGACCTCTAATACTCCTTCATCGAACCCAAAACTTACAATTTGTAAAAATATCATCGTTTAGCTACAATACTCCGTGTCGTATGTGGTGAACAACCCTGTATATGCTGCTGAAGTTTCCAGAATACAGTTCGGACCATCCTGTATATCAGATATATTAAAGTGTCATCTAATCTGATTTCTAAAACTACTGGGCTTATACCAGGTGGCGCATCGGCGTCTCCTGTTTATTTTAAAGCCAAACCGTATATATAAATAGATTTTTTAAAGATCTGCATATGCCGAATACGCAAGCCAAATTTGAGCAATTTTGGCCCAGGCAGTTTTTAACTAATTTAAAAAAAAACTGCATCTCCATCCAAGGAACCCAAAATACCATTTATCTCTGAATTAAAACGGCAAACACAACTGTCACTATCATGGATTTCCTCGTTAGACAGACTATAGTAACAAATATTGACATAAAGCCTTTTCAAAATTGTAAAATTATGAATTATTGGTACCTACTTTTTAACAGTACGTAGTAAAAAAATCATATATAGTCTGTCCAACGAGAAGATCCTTGACAGTGATAGATGTGTCTGTCATTTTAATTTCAAAGTAGTTTATTTTATTTTACAAAGAAATAAGTTGGTACAACTGGAACGCATAGCAGGAAATTAATATATGTATTTAAAATTTGACTGACAAGTAACTTCAAAATATTGTGAAAAAAACTGTATAAAACTAAAAAAATGTAATCGAGTTATTTTATTTAATAAAAAACGGTATGTGTTAATACAAAACAAACAAAAACAAAACACCACATACCAAAAAAATATAAAAAAGAACTATTTCTTACTTTCAAGCTTTATGAAACTTCCCGCATTTATGATTATATTTATCAATATAACTTATGTACAAATACAAATTTGTAATATTCCGCAGGAATAAATAAAAAAACATAAATAAAACAAACTATTTTATTAATAATAACACTTACCAGATTTTATACCTCACAGGTTGATTAATTAACTTTAATCTTAATTTTTTAAACCAGTACCTTTTGACATTATTTTTCTGCAGTACTAAAATCCATTATTTACCTATCGTGCGATGTCGATATTTTACAGCTGCTCCAGTTTTTAGTATGTGTTTAGAGTATGGTCCTTCTACCATATTCGAGATGCACTTATCTACGACGAGATGGTATACGAACTTTATTGATAGTAACTTTATTGGTGTATCTGTATAAGACTTTCTGCCTGGGCAGCGAGTATTAACCATAAACTGTGTTCTGGGTTCTACAGTTAATTTTCACTCGATTTTTCCTCCACTTGACTTCAAAAGACACAAAACACACGTAATAACACGAATTAAAATGCATCATCTTCCAAAACGCAGGATATTTGACAAAAGTTGTCACAAAATTATAACCTATAATTTGGCAAGACTTTGACAAACGTCAAAAATCTAAAGGCGAGTTCATACGCATCGGCGTCCGTTTGTCGTTCATCGTTCCGTCAAACCAATAAAATTCAAATACGTTCATTTTTGAAATAAACCAATAAAACTGGTTAAAAACAACAAGTGACGACACATGACGAATTTATATTTAAACCCATCCATAGTTAACTTAAAAATTATTAGAAACTTTTTCTAGTAAAATAAATAGATTGGTATGGGACATCATCTGCTTTTCTTCTGTCATCGTCTGTCGAAATCTTACCTGAGAAAAAAAAAACAGAGTATATCAGTCTTTTTATGGATATAAAGGAAATATTTATCTATAATACCCTTGTTTATATATTCTTTAATACTAAACAATACAACTTTAAAAACGTTATTATATTTTAAATTAAAATTAAATATAATCTATAAATGTTTCTAGGTCAAGATTGATTGACACGACAACACTGGAATAAACATTTGTGTTTAGTATGTATTGACAGATCTATTATTATGTACAACTCGTACAATCAATAACTAACCATTGCCAGTTATTCGAAGTGCATTCATTTTAGAGATATTGTAATATTTATCTATAGTTCGATAACTATTTTGAGATGTTGCCAGTTGGAATAGATAGGGACATATCAATTGAGCGTATTGATTATATAAGTTTAAATATCTATAAATAAACTTAAAGTACCTTATACAGGGTGTTTCAAAACAAATGCGAAAAACTTCAGGGGGTGATTCCTTGTTCAAAATAAAGGGTAGTTTGCTTTATAAACGTTGGGTCAAAAGTCAACCATTAGGGAGATATCGCGGTACAAAGATGGCGGAAAAATAATGTTTTTATTTTTTATCTTGAAAACGAAAAGAAATAGACTAATGAAATTTTACGGAAGCATTACTGTTATGAAAACACACTTTCTAGTAATTTTTTCACTTTTTTAAAATGAGTGGAAGGGGTTGAAATAAACTGCCCCTATCATTCTTGTTAATGAAATTTAAAGAAAAATCTTATCAAACACATGCAAAAAAATTAATTTTGATAGTTTAATTTATTTAGAAACTTTTTTATCTCTTGTGTTTTTTTGATAAAACTCACCGATTTGAAATTAAAAAATAAAATGTAAAGCATTACATGTCAGGACAAAAAACATTTTTAGATAAAGAATCTAGTGGGCAGCTGTAATTTTTTTAGGAAAAAAATCTAGTCGGCCGCTGTCACTTTTTAGGATGTTTCTAATATTGTTTTATTTGACATTACCCTACTGCAATACGTTATTATCTAGATTATTATTATTATCATTATTATCACTAGATTCTTGAATCTAAAAATATTTTAGTCTGACATGTAATGCTTTACATTTTTATTTTTTTTAATTTCAAATCGGTGAGTTTATAAAAAATACAAGAGATAAAAGGTTCTTAACAAAAG